TCTCTCTCTCTCTCTCTCTCTCTCTCTCTCTCTCTCTCAATAAAAGAAGCATAACATTTGAAACCATGGCTCAGCCCAGAATTCTGGAACCCTAAATACTCAGACTGCAAAATTTCCAAAACCTCAGTCCATAAAGAACAAACAAAAACAAGCTGAGAATCAGGAGCCCAGGAATTAGGGGAAATAAATTGGGTACATAATTCTAAGTCACATCTAAGTCACAGCCCTGCCACTTCTAACTTCATGGTGTTCTTTCCTTGCAGGGCTCCCACCCCCTAATCCTGTGACGAGCCCTGGCACACATCACATAGCCCTGCGACAACCTTCTGACAAACCCTTGTCCCACTATCCATCATCCCAAGCCCACACTGTAGAAATATTCACCAACATTTCCTCCTGTCTCCGGTCTCCAGATAAGTAGATCTTGAGCCGAGAACACAAAAGTGCTCACACTCTGCTCTCAAGCCCCAGGAACCTGAGTCCACCATGAGGAGAGGTGGTAGGAAGTGGCTGGGAAGCAGGTAAAGAACAATCCGAAATACGACTTAGAAGCAAGACCAAAATGCGAAGCTAGGCAGAAAACCAAACACACAGTGCTCAAAATTGATTCAGTAGAGAAACAGAGTCTAGGCACAATGCACACTGTGTAAGAGGTCAACTCCTGGATGCCAAGCCGGGGATGGAGGTCGAATCCGGACTTTGCAGGACTTCCTGAGCTTTCTTCTTCGGGTTTCTGAGGCCTTGGCCGTGGCCCTAGGCAGGGAGGACTGGATGCAGTATCGTATTCTGACCCACACATTGCCAACCCACTCCAACCCCAAACCGTAACTAGAGCACATCTCCCAACTCCCACACTTCTAATAGTTCCCAGGTGCTTTCAGCCTAGGTGATCAAATTCTTTAGCAAAGCTGACAAAGCCTTACTGAATGAGTTCTCAGCAGCGGCCCGTAAATGTATGTCCCAGCCCTTGTCCTGTGGGTTGGGAACCACCCATCCCATACACTTCACTGTCTAGAGACTCATTTTTTCCAGCCTCCTGGCCTTATCCCGTGTCATCCCCAAGTCTGAAATACTCTTTCCAATTCTTTCTCACCTCTGCAAGTACTCCACATCTTTTTACCCCACTCTTCTTTTACTGCTTCTGCAAATTAATGGTTTTCATTTTTTGGCAGATTCATTGATGCACATAAAATACTTTCATCATTTCCACCCCTCTTTCCCATCCTCCCCCTAGCTACATATTTTTGGAGAGTTTTATATATCTTTCTCATATCTGTCCCCTCTCTTACCTGCCCTTTAACCCTATCCTCTGTCCTCTTACTCCCTTCCTATAGCCTGCCTTCTACTTGCTTGTCATCTTTTTTAGATTCCACATATCAAGGACACTGTATATTTGTCTTTCTGAGTCTTGCTATTTCACTCAACTCAATGGTCTCCAGATCCATCCATTTCAGCACCACCCCTGGTTTCCTTGATCTCCCCCCAAGTGTGTTGAAGAGACTCCTTCTATCCTCTCAGTTCATACCTCATATTGGTTGTATCTCTAATATTACTTCATCCATTCTGTATTACAAATGTGCAATATACAAACAACTTCATGTTGTTCTGTGTTCTCCTGTTCACGCATGCCAGTTCCCTGAAGGCAAAGATGGTCTTTCCATTCATCTTTGCATCTCTCCATTCTATGCAAGAAAGACAAAGAAATCCTACCACATTACTTTGCAAATAGTAGATGCTCAGAATCATTGATATACAGAATTTTCCTACAGGAGGGAAGAGCGTATTTGATTCTCTTCAGTTCAGAGTTATTGAGCTTCTTCTATATACCCAGTAAGCACCAAGCACAGTACTGAGTTATTTTATATCTATTTAAATATACTGTTTCACTTGGCAGGCCTAGCAGTTCTGCCAAGTAGATCTTGGCCTTACTTTGCAGTTAAAAGAGCTAACATCAGAGAACTAAAGCTATACAACCAAGGTCACAGAGCTAGTGAATGTTGAAACCAGAAAGTCATAACAAAGTCTAGGTTAACAGCCTTCCCTCTGATACTAAGGAAACCTTGGATGAGCATGCTTTTGACTGATCTGGAATGGAAAGATTCTTCCCTTTGGGACTATAATCATGGGGCGGGGGGTTGTTTGGCTGTTTGGTCGTTGGTTTGTTTTGTTGGGTTTTTTTGTTTGTTTGTTTTTTGTTTTTTTGTGGTTTTTTTTTTTTTTTTTTTTTTTTTTTTTTTTTTGTGTGGTTTTTTTTTTTTTTTTTTTTTTTTTTTTTTGAGGTACTAGAAGTTGAGCCCAGGGCCTTTGCACTGACCTACATCCCCAGCCATTTTTTTTTTTTTTTGAGACAAAGTCTTTCTAAGTCTCTAAGTTTCCCAGACTGGGCTCAAATTTGCAATCCTGCCTTAACCTCCCAGAGTGCTGGGATGACAAGCATGTTCCACCACACCTGGGTTAGTCCTACTCTTTATACTGGACCTGGTATAGTCTGAATGTCTCTGTCATCACCCAACCACCAAGTTTATGTTGATATCCTAACTTCATGGTGATGAAATTAGGAGGTGGGTCCTGGGAGGTGTTAGGTCGTGGCAGTGGGGTCCTTCATGAATGGGATTGATACCCTTATTAAACAGACCAGAGAGAGGACTGTCTCTCCCCTCCC